CTGTGTTATCAGTAGGCAGGGAGATGGGGGGTCCCTTTCAAAGATACTAGTCCACCTTTGGGAATTGACTAGAGATCAGGGTAACTCAGTGGGGAGGAACTTTAACAGGGCCATGAATGTGGCTCATTGATTAATATTAGCTCACCATCAGAGGATAGGCCTTTGACTCCAAGTTCTCTTGGAGAGAATGTCTCTTCGTATAATCACTCCTAACCTCTTCTATGGGCCTATCTGCTCAGGCTTTCTCCAACTACTGCCGCTAGGCAGTTCAAATGTGGAATTCCAGTCAGTGCCCCCTATCTCTTCACATCCCGGGTTCAAGAGACTACCGGATCACCCTCTGAGCGGCCCTGTCCACCACCAGGTAAGAGCTCCTCTTTTCCAGTTTTTCTTCTATGACTATACCAGGCCAGTCTGGGTTAAAAGGACTCGGACGAGGCCTAGTCTGGTGGTTCCTAAACTTTATTGCAAATTAAAATTATGTGGGAAAGTTTTAAAACTCCCAGGTCACACCCAGAAATCAGAAAGTCTAGAAGTGGGGATCAGTAATTTTTTTTTTTTTTTTACATCATCATAGAACTTTTTTTAGCGGGCGAAATCAGTAATTTTTAAAACTCCCCAAGTGCTTCCAATGAGTAGCAAAGTTTGGGAATTTCAGGCCTATCCCTATTTAGGGTTGAGTAGTCTGTCCAGACTTTGACAGGGTCTTGCTGGTGGACTGTCATCCAGACTGGTGCAATATAGAAGAAACCAAAACCTCTGCCTACTAGTAGGGGCTTCCACCTACTGTCACCACTATTGAAGAAATTAGCAGAGTGCTCTGGAATCAAATGTAGAGTAAGATGTTATGGCCTTTGTCAAATGTGTCCCAGAATCCTTCACAGTGAATTGGAAGAAAAGAACACCTTACCTACTTACTGTTGTTGGGTTTGAGGATTCACTCCTACCCAAGAAGCCCTCAATTAGTAACTATGGTTGTCATTACTCACTACCCTCATTCCCCTTTCCCAGGAAGTGAGTTTTTCGGCTGCCAGAACTGTGAGGCTGTGGCTGGGTGCTCTTCGGGGCTGGACCCCTTGGCTCCCAGGGACGAGGACAAACCCTATAAGTGTCAGCTCTGCCGGTCTGCCTTCCGCTACAAAGGCAACTTGGCCAGTCACCGTACTGTGCACACAGGTAGGAGAGGAAAGGGATTTGGCCTTCGTGCCCACCACTGTTTTTAAGGCAATGTCCCTGACTTCTCTTCCTCCCTGTTTATAGGGGAAAAGCCCTATCATTGCTCCATCTGTGGAGCCCGTTTTAACCGACCAGCTAACCTGAAAACGCACAGCCGCATCCATTCGGGAGAGAAACCTTATAAGTGTGAGACTTGCGGTTCACGCTTTGTACAGGTACGAAGCCAACCCCTGCAGAGAGGGTTCAAAGGTTAGAGGGCGGGGTGGAGAGAATTCTGCCCCTCCCAAAGGTGATCTGAAGTCTCCTCCCCTCCCAGGTGGCGCACCTGCGCGCCCACGTGCTGATCCACACCGGAGAGAAGCCCTATCCTTGTCCCACCTGCGGAACTCGCTTCCGCCACCTACAGACCCTCAAGAGTCATGTCCGCATCCACACGGGAGAGAAGCCTTACCATGTGGGTATCCAGGATGGCCAACCCTTAGAATTACCTTCCGTTCACCTAGGGGCGGAGCTCTGAGAGGAGGGACCTTGCTACCCTTAGATCTCTTGGAAACTAAGAGTCCTAGTGAATAAGAGGCGGAGGCCGAAGTAGGGATTGCGCTTCTTCATTTTCCAGAGAGGGATTAACGGGTGGGAAAACCTTTGCTAAAATAAATCAGGGTCTATCTCCCGGGATCCCCTGAGGATTTGGGAGGATGTGAAGGCCAAAGCGCTAATTTTCTATAGAGAGCTGTACCGTTTCCCTTTGCCCAACACCTAAAAGATGGTTTTGGAATGGGTGAGACCTGACTCAGTTGTTCTCCCACAGTGCGACCCGTGCGGCCTGCATTTCCGGCACAAGAGTCAGCTGCGGTTACATCTGCGCCAGAAACACGGGGCTGCTACAAACACCAAAGTACACTACCACATCCTGGGGGGGCCTTAGCTGAGTGCCCCAGACCCCACTCGCTCCCCAGGGCCCAGGAAGTCCCCAAGCTTGGACCTCGCTACCCTGTTCGTCTTGGTATGGGGGTGTGCAAGACCACTCTGGTATCAGAAACTGCTGCCACCTTAATTTCTTGCTGGGGAGAGCAGGAGTGGCAGATCCAGGCTAGATCTGCCTCTGTTTTGCTGGTCAAAACCTCTTCCCCACAATCCCAGATTGTCGAACTAGAGGCTGGGGTCAGGGAGACATTGGAGGCCTGGTTTCCTTAAGGGAAGAGCCCCCACCTGCAGTCCCCATCTCATTTGGTTTATCTGTAAATATAATTTATTGCAGCCTTTGGGTAGCACCAGGGCCTTCATTCTGTTGCATTTCCCACTTCCCTATGCCACAAGTGTGATCAAAAGTGACCAGAAACATAGAATGTGAAGTCACAGCTCTGCTGGCAGAGATTATTAGCACTTGGCTCTCTCCTTTGGCTTGAGTGTTTTTATATTGTTATTGTCATAGCTTTTATCTTTACAATTGTTCTTTTTCCTGTTTGTTTGATGTTGGTTTGTTTAAAATGGAGAAAGGGGGACTCCATTCCCTGCTCCTCCAATTCTAGGTCTGGAACCTTTATTCATTCTAGGGCAAGCCCTAGGAACATGTGGGATTATGGAATTGGGTCTGGAACCCTCTCTGGTATTCTGGACTTTGAGGTGCTCTAGCAGGCTAGAATTAGATATAGTCTTTTCTTTCTTTTCATGGGTGATAGGAACCTTTATGATGAGCCTGAAACGAAGGTAACAAATGCTTCCTGAAAGTTGCAGGGTGGGAGATTGGATCCTAAATCACTTTAAGTAGAGGCCAGTAGTCTTTACTTCAAGATGGTTCAGTATCTACACTGTCTCACCAATCCAATCACCTGGGTTTGGCTGCCCTGCATTCATCTGTCACAACAGAGCCCACCCAAGGCTTTGAATTGAATTCATAATTCTCCCACTACGGCCAGTTCTTAGCACTGAGTTGATCCCTCCTCCATGGGAGAAAGATCTAAAATTTCTTGTCAGAGATCATATGACCTTTTCTAATTCTACCAGTCTCTAAGAATATTGTGACCTAGGGGAGAAATATGAAACTTTACCTTGACTATAGAGTTGTGACCCACCCATTACTGTAGAGGTATCTAGGTTTGAATGTTCCTTGGGGTTCTCTATACTGAGATGAACCCCTTCTTTCTTTAATGGGTTTTGGACATCTTCTGGCAAGTGTCCAGATTCCAGAAATGTCTTTGTCTCTTTAAGTCACAGGTGTTTGGTAACTTTCTTACCTTAGAAAAGCTGGATCTGTGATCTTGTCTTCCCATCACTGCATTCCTGTCTGGAACCAGTGAGTGCATTAGAACCTTCCACAGGAAGAGGAAAGAGGCTGAGTTCCATTCTGGGTTTATTGTAGTTTGGAATTATGATTGCAATTGTTGTTGGTATTGGAGATTTGGGAGTAAAACTGGTTTGACTGATGAGTTCAAGCCCCTTCTAGTCGACCAAGTTGCCAGGTAGGATTAAGAGGTTGATTAAGTGCTGAAGTTTCCAGTGTTGACCAAGTAGGGGAAAAGTTATGGATGGGGTAGCCTCTTAGCAACTGTCTGGAATGTTGAATAATACTCTGAATCCCTGATTTATAGTCTTGGCCCTTGTAACCCTGGGACCTATTTGATTATAGGACATGGATGGAGGGTAAAAAGCACTTCTGAATTTGGGGGGGGGGTGGAACTTCCTCAAGATAGATCAATACTAGTTGCTGTCACTTGGGGACTAGTGAGAAAGCTATTCTCCCTAAGTCTATCTTAAACCCCATCACCCCATTGAAGAATTGAAGAAGAGGGAAAGCAAGAGGAGACATGTAAAAAGAAACCATAATCTCTGTTTTAGCAGATGGGATGAGCAGGTTGAAAGTGCCTGGGGGTGGAGATATTAGATCTTTCAAGATCTAATCCTTGGAATAAAGAAGCCTCTGAGTCTATCTGTTGTGTTCTGGGTTCTTGCCTCAGGGGACCTGGGGACTTGGAAAGAGATTTCTTCCCTCTTAAATAATATTTGGATTCTGTGCTCATTTCACTGTTTCATCCCACCACACATCTTAAATGGTCCTTGTTCAGCCCTTGCCTTCCGGCTCATTGTGTAGGAACCAGTGACTTCATGAAGTTTCTCCGGAGCCACCTGCATCCTGCTGGTCTGAAGTCACTTCCTGCCTGAGGTGCAGAGGCAGCAGGGAGAAACTAGGAAGCCACTAGTAATACCAAGAGGTTGAGGGATGCATTTGTGCTGGGGATATTAATGCTTGGGACACCCCACCACCACTAAGGAAAATGGTTGGGACTTGGATCCCAAGGACAACAGGAGGTGGCAGTGAGAAGGCTGTGTAGTTAAAAGCCAGCATGCCAACTCCACCTTTGTCTCCCAGCAGTGGTATCTTGGAACTCTATCCAGTGTCCCGTGCATGTGCCTCTCCTACTTTTTCCCCTGTTCTATGTGTGTCCTGGGTGCATAGCTCTGGTCTGGCCCTCAGGCAGAATGGTCACAAATTCTGATATTATCCCTGCCTTCTGTCTTAAAAGTCCTTATCTGTGATAAAAGTCAGATAACATGGCCCCTGAATTACCTCCAACATTTACAGGATGTGGTTGTGTTTCTTAATCTTTTAATACCCAGACCTGAAAAGAAAAAAAAAAAAAAAAACTAAATCCTTCCTTCACTTCCCTCTGCAGCTTCACTTCCCTCTATGCCCTATTGAAAACAAGACCAGCTAATATTACTTTCACCTGCTACATGGTATGCCCTAAACTAAGCATTTTAGTGCATGAATTTTCTAATTTAACCCCCCTGACAACCATTAAAAAATAGCCTAACTTACAGATAGGAAAACCAATATCTTGACCAAGTTAATAAATGATAAAGTCAAGATTGGAACCAGTTTGATTCTAAAGACTGAGTTCTTAACCACTTATATACGACCACACCAACTAGCATATTCCCCATCAATATTTTGAATACATATTCATACACACACACAGAGGTAAGAATTCTGGTATGATTATTTTCCATATGTGAAATCAAAAGCTACACAGTCTCCCCACCTCATTCCCCTCTTCTTCTTTGCCTGTTTGCTTCTTTTCCCCACTAGTCTAGGTGGGATTTTTGTTGTTGTTTGTTTGTTTGTTTGTACTGGGGGTTTAATTCAGGTGTACTGCTTAGGGCTAAATTGCTGAAACTGGCTTGGATCTCCTAATCCTCCTGCTTCAGCCTCCAGAATGGCTGAGATTACAGGCCTGTGCCACCATATCCTGCTGGGTATGAACTCTTTGAGCCCAGGGAACCCAGGTCGGGGGTCCTCCACAGCTTGAGTTACAATGAAGGAACTGAAGTCCAAGACGTTAATGCTGTGGAGTCTGGGGAGGACTAGGGGGTGCTCACAGGGGGCCTGAGTACTGGTGGGGTAAGAAAAGCTGATTGCTCCAGTTGCCGGGGTCATAACTTCTCTTTATCCCACCTTGAGTTCAAAAAATATGGTTAGGACATAGCTGTTACTAGAAGGCAGAAGAAAAGGTTCCAGCCCCACTGAGGAAGGGGTAGGTGGTGTTGGTGGAGCCCTATGTGACTTTACAGCCGCCCTTCCTCTCTTCGGTTATTTTTGGTCTCTGTGACCCAAGGTTTCCTGTTAGTGGGAACAGAAAAGTGTTATCATCGCAGAAATGAATGCCAGGAGTCCAACAACCCATTCCCCGTCTCTTTTCCGTTGGCCCTTGAACCTCTCAGAAATCCAGCCATCTCGATTTGGGGAGCTGCGTTAACGGTGGCACTCCTTCAAGTTATTTTGAATTTTATAACCTGTCCTCCGGAACCCCACGTGGGTCGGGCATTCCTCAAAAACAAGTGAGTGCTTGCCTCTCCAGAACCAGTTTGCCCACCACCAGTCCTTACGTGCGGGTTTTGGTGCTGAAATGCGGACGACTCGGCCCACACCATGAGCAGGGGACCCTGCATCACGTGTGGCTGTATCCAGTCAGTCGCTTCAGGACCCTTCTTACGCATGCGCCCCACTCACTGCCCGTCCGGAACAATGCTCTAAGTCCCGCCCAAGCCTTCTGGCCCCACCCCCTGCTCTAGGAGTCCTGCGTCCTCGTTGGCTAGCTAGGGATTGGATGTTGGCTCGCTTGGCCAGGTGTAGACATCCCCAAAGATAATTCATACCCTGGCCGGTGCGCGTCTCCATTTCCACCTCCTGGTCCCTAATCGAACGTTTGGGGGCCCGCCGCTAACGAACTGGCCCTTTCCTGGACCCTCAGCTGCAGGCCAGCCGGGCTGCGCCTCCGTGCGCTTGTGACCGAGGCTAGCACGGGCCTGGTCTCCCCCCTCCCCCGCCTCACTAAGACCGTACCCCTTGGGAAAAGGCGCAGGCGCCTCACGCCGCCTGATCTGTACCTTTCTCTTTACCCGAATTTGCACCCCACCCCGCGCTTGGTTCCGAGCCTCCCAGCAGGGTGGGCATACACTGGTGGAAGTCTAGAGCCCGGCTCCTGCAGGGACTGGCTCTTAGTGGCGGCAGCCCTGTTCCTACCCAGATGGCTCGCGGGGCCGAGCCCCCCGATGGGGGCTGGGGATGGATGGTGGTGCTCTCAGCCTTCTTCCAGTCGGCACTGGTGTTCGGGGTGCTTCGCTCCTTCGGAGTCTTCTTCGTGGAGTTTGTGGCGGCGTTTGAGGAGCAGGCAGCGCGCGTCTCCTGGATCGCCTCCATTGGAATCGCGGTGCAGCAGTTTGGGAGTGAGTGCTGCGCCCGGCCCGGTGTCCTGTGACCCTCACCCTCGAAAGAGAAAGGGGTTACGGAACCGAAAGGGGAAGAAGAAGGGGTGTGGAGGATGCTAGGGAAGGACGCCTGAATCCTCACAGAACCCTTTCCCCTTCCCCAGGCCCCATAGGCAGTGCCCTGAGCACGAAGTTCGGGCCCAGGCCTGTGGTGATGACCGGGGGCATCTTGGCCTCGCTGGGTATGCTGCTCGCTTCATTTGCTACCTCCTTGACCCACCTATACCTGAGTATTGGACTGCTCTCAGGTGAGACCCTGGGCAAGGACAGGAGAGTCATATACTTGGGTATATGATTCTCCTGGATTTTCACCTTTTTCCTGCTCCTTCCAAAAAGTTTAGGGAGAATGTTGAGGGAAAGTTTGAGTAGCACTTGTGCCCTGAAGGGAATTCTTAAGAGAATGACTAAGTTGGTTAACGTGGTGGGGAAATTAGAAAGTCAAAGATAATGAATCCAAGAATGTATGTGCAAGCCCAAGGCTAGAGGGACTGGAGAATTTCTGTAAAATTGTTCTGGGCACTGTGTCTGAAATGAATATCATTAGCCCATGTACAAAGAAAGACTTTCAAAGCTTACGCAACTTGGCAAAGTAACATTACATGGCCAGAAATGGTAGAGCAGGGGTCTAACTCCAAAGTTCTGTGCTAGTTACTTTACAAACATTATCTCTAGTCCTCCCCCAGTCCCATAAAGTGTAGCAACCCCATTTTGCAGATGAGGAAATTGAGGCTGGGAGAGTAAGTAAAACACATGGGGTCACACAGCTAGAAACTGTCAAAACTAGGACTACATCCAGGTCTGTGGGACCCCAGAACAAAGGCTATATTCTGCTACAGAGCACTGTTGGGATTACTGGGTTTCCTGAGCGCCACAAAAGTTCTCAACCCTCATTTCTTCCTTTTTGACAGGCTCTGGCTGGGCCTTGACCTTCACTCCGACCCTGGCCTGCCTGTCCCGTTACTTCTCTCGTCGTCGATCCCTGGCCACAGGGCTGGCACTGACAGGAGTGGGCCTCTCCTCTTTTGCATTTGCCCCCCTCTTCCAGTGGCTACTCAACTACTATGCCTGGCAGGGGGCTCTACTGCTGGTATCTGCCCTCTCCCTCCACCTGGTGGCATGTGGTGCTCTCCTCCGCCCACTATCCCTGACTGAGGACACAGTTATGGGTGGCCCTGCAGCCCAACTCACCTCCCTCCTCCATCATGGCCCCTTCCTCCGTTACACTGTTGCCCTCACCCTGATCAACACTGGCTACTTCATACCCTATGTCCACCTGGTGGCCCATCTCCAAGATCTGGATTGGGACCCACTACCTGCTGCCTTTCTACTCTCTGTGGCTGCTATTTCTGACCTTGTAGGGCGTGTGGCCTCTGGGTGGCTGGGAGATGCAGTCCCAGGGCCTGTGGCACGGCTTCTGATGCTTTGGACCACCCTGACTGGGGTATCACTGACCCTGTTCCCTGTGGCTCAGGCTCCCACAGCCCTAGTGGTTCTGGCTGTGGCCTATGGCTTCACATCAGGAGCCCTGACCCCAGTGGCCTTCTCCGTGCTGCCTGAACTGGTGGGGACTGGAAGGATTTACTGTGGCCTAGGACTGGTGCAGATGGTAGAGAGCATCGGGGGGCTACTGGGGGCTCCTCTGTCAGGTAAGGGGAATGGGGTTGCCAGGTGGGCAAGGGCTGCCATGTTGCACAGTCGGGGGAAGGAACTATTCCCATCATGTGTATGTGAATATTGTCCTCTGGTATGGTACAGTTCACAGCCTGCATGACCAATCATAGCAGACTTGATGTGGGTCCATAGGGTAGAGAAATTGGGGCTGGGAAGTTCTAACTGGAAAGACAAAGAGGAGTTAAGTGGAAATCTTGGTATGGAGCTAACAGCCTGGGTTTTCAGAGGATATGGCCAGATCTGGACCTATATAACATTCCAGTGTCTTCCATTTTCCTTTGTCTTACTGGGCCCCAGGCCATGTGTCTGAGTACTCTGGTCAAAGTACTCCAGGCTCAAGATTCAGGAACCTTATGACTTTAACATTCCCTCTTAACTATTAACTGAAGATGTGGAACGGCTACAATTGCCAGAAAGAAACCTACAGGTATGCCTGACATAATCTGGCTTATCAAATCTTCATGGGCTGGTTTGGAGATCCTTTCTAAAGGCACATAGGTGGTTAAAATTACCTTTGAGGCCCTTAGGGAAAATAGAATTCTCACATTCATCTGGTCTACCTTGGGAGTTTTGATTTCTCTAATATTATGCACCTTTCCTTCACCCAAAAAAGGGGTCTGAGGGCTGGGGATGTGGCTCAAGCGGTAGCACAATCGCCTGGCATGTGTGCGGCCCGGGTTCAATCCTCAGCATCACATACAAACAAAGATGTTGTGTCCACCAAAAAACTAAAAAATAAATATTAAAAAAAATTTTTTTTAAAAAGGGGGAATGAGCTGTCAGCCCCAGCGAACATATCACTCATGTGTATTCTTTTTCTCTCTTGGATCTAGGCTACCTCCGAGATGTGACAGGCAACTACACAGCTTCTTTTGTGGTGGCTGGGACCTTCCTTCTTGCAGGGAGTGCAGTTCTCATCACTCTGCCCCACTTCTTCTCCTGCTTTTCAGCTCCTACTACCAGGCCTCAGGACCTTGTAATAGAGGCAGTGGATACCAAAGTCCCCCTGCCTACGAAGGAGGGGCTGGGAGAGGACTGAATTCCACTAAGAGATAGTCCCCAAAAGCCAGATCTTGACAGCTCCAGATTTTCTCCTGCCCAAAGGAGGCATCCACAGAACCACAGTGCCTTAAGATTCTTGATCTTTCTCGCCCCAGAACAGGCCTGGGACTCCTCCAATGTGTGTGCCAACCCTTGGTATTTTGCTGAGGACTCACATTTCTTCTCATTTGCTCTCCCAACCTTTTCTGAAGGATCCAGAGATCCTACTCCATTAAGCTGTGAATCAACTGAAAATCAAAGACCAAGAGACTTCTCATGTTTTACATGTGAACTCCAGTGTCCTCCTAAGTGTCCTCTCTGAAGACAGATGTTTGAGAAGCAAAGGTGTCTGTTTGAGATAAAACTGAATAAGGAAACCGGACAATAATTGTAACCTCAAAAAGAACCAGGGCCCATGTGTGGGTTGGCTTATGAAATCAGGGCAGGGGAGGGGAGATGTCCAGGAGCTGTGATGATTCTGAGTTCCTCCCTCCTGTCCACTTACCTACCTCTTCCCCACCTGGGGCTTAGAAATTAAGGGAATGGTGAAATCACAGAGTGTATGTGTGTGGGAGGGTAGCTTGTTTAGGAAGGGGAAGAAAGGCTGATAGAGATGAAGTTTGGACCTAGGATTCTCATATTTCCCAGGAAAATAAAAGGAGATTGAAATGCTGGAACTGTTCCACCAGATCTAGATATTCAAGGTAAATGAAAATGGAGCAGGTGGCATCCATAAGCATCTTTTCCCCCACCCCAGCCCACAACAGACAACTTCTCAAAGACTCCCTGTTATGGCAAGGATTTGGGCAAAGAGGAATGGACTGACTGGATAGCTAAACACCCTTCCCCACCCCCAACTGGGGTCCTGTTTTCTTTCAAAAGCCTTTTGGGATATCTTAAAGTAGAATATTTTCAGGCTTCTAGGATGGCCAACAGTTGGAGCTTTCAGAAAAATCAAATAAAAATTATTTATTGGGGGAGGGGTTTAAACAAGAAAATGATCAACAATCGGTGTCCAGAGTGGAGGGAGGTCCTCCTGGGGGTGGCAAGGCAACCTGGGGCATCGGAAGCAGCTCCCCTCTCTCAGGGGGAGGGGTAGCTGGAGGTGAGGTTGGCCGACAGGAGGGGAGGGCCCTAGGTAGCCCCAAGTAGATGAAGCTGCCGGAGAGGATGAAAGAGCCACAGACGAGGAAAGAAGCGGTGAAGTTTCCTGTCTCATCCCTTAGGAAGCCTGAGAACAGGGGTAAAGGAATTTAGAGGTCTTGCATCCCAAGGACAGAGGACAGTTGAGAGTGGATCTGTTGGTTTAGGCCCTTACCTGACAGGGGAGGGCCCAGGAGTCCCCCGAGGCTCATCAGCATCATCACCAGCCCAGTGGCCTGCACCACACCTCCGATGCCCACCAGCCCCGGGAGCACACCAAACACTAGGGGGGCATAACTTCCAGCGCTAAGTCCGTAGGCCCCAGCTGCAGCCAGCAGGGGGCCCCCCCAGTCGTCTTCGCTCCCCACCGCCGGCACCAGTCCCACTGCCAGCAGCCCCAGCCCTGTCAGAGCTCCAAACAGTGCCAGCAGCCGCGGAAGGGGCACCCAGCCCTGGTCCGCCAGACACCCACAGACCAGTCGGGCACCCGAATCCCCCACTGCAGCCACGGCCACCACGAGAGCTGCCCCGTATCCCCCCAGGCCTCGGTCTAAAGCGTGTGGGGCCAAGTGCACGTAGGGGACGAAGTACCCACCCCCAATCAGAGCTGTACCCAGAGCAAAAACTGAGAAGGCCCGATGCTTGAAGAGACCCAAGCCAAGGGCAGCTAGGGGGTTGAGGGGTGGAGCCTCGGGGTCTCCAGGGAGGGACAGAGGTCGCAGCAGGGCGCCACAAGGGGTGAGATGGAGTGTGACAGCGCCAAGGAGGAACAGAGCGCCCCTCCAGCCGAATGTGTCAAGGAGGAGCTGCAAGGCAGGCGCCAGAAACAGGGAGGAAACCCCGTTGCCAGTGAGTGCTAGTCCCACAGCCAAGACCCGACGGCGAGAGAAGTAACGGGAGAGGGTACCGAGGGCTGGGGCAAACACAAGAGCCCAGCCAGCGCCTGCGAATAAATAAAGTGAGATTAAGGAAGGTTCCAGGGATGCCTGCCCCAGCATTCCCAGCAGTGCTTCTTGCAGAAGCCCCCCACCCACCCACCTCATTCGTTACCCCAATTCCCAAGAAAGTCCTATCCCCACCATCACCCCTGATCATCACCCCGGGTCATGCCGCTCCCCTCACCAGCGAGGAGGCCCAGGCCGAGGTAGAGGTGCAGCAGGCTTCGGGCGAAAGCCGATAAGACGAAACCCAGCGAAGCAAGGACTCCCCCAACCATCACCACCGGGCGCGCCCCCCAGCGTGTGCTCAGAGCGCTGCCCACTGGGCCTAAAAGGGGGTCGAAATCAACGGAAGACACGCTCCTGGACCCCCAAACTCTCTCCAACACTTCTCATTGGCTATTTGCTTGGCCTCAAACTCCTCCCTGGGTCTAATAGCTCCTCCCCTTGACCTCAAGTCCCACTCTTTTCTAGAACTTGGTTTCCATAATCAGTCGCTCATTCTCAAGTTGTCTAGTAATTAATTGGATCTCCCATCACTATACTCACAGTTCCTATACCCCCTTCCCACCCCCCACCTTGGGCCCTCCCTCACTGGCTGCTTGCTGCATGGCCAAGGCCAGGGCGCTGATCCACGCAGTGTCCTGGGCGCTTCGGTCAAAATGCTCGGCGAGGTCAGGGAGAGCAAGGCCCAGGGAGCGTAAGAGCCCGTAGGAGAGCCCATTCACCGCGAAGGCCGAAAACGCCACCACCCAGCCCCAGCCCCCGTCCGGGGGTCCGGGCGGCTGGGGGGTCATCACCGTCTGTGGGGGTGGGGAAACAACTGTCAGCCAGGTCTCCGCTCCTGAGCGTCCTCTTAGGAGCTAGCATTCCTGAGATCCGTTCTCCGGCTGCTCTCCCAGGGTGGGCACGTCACCCAGAGCGTGGGTGAGGGAACCAGGCCTAGGGACAGAACTCCTGGGTGCTCGAAGGGAACCGGGTTGGGGAACAGCTGGATCCCCCAAGCCGCGGGCTCTCCCTCCCACACACACCCCTTTCGCCTTACCCGACCTCACTAGGCGGTGGGGGGAGGGGAAGCTCGACCGGGTTTTCTCCCCGCTTCCCGGGCGGGCGGGGCCCCGGAATGGAGCGACTGCAGAGATGGAGCCCAACTTGGACAGGTCCTCTCCGTAAACAGAGATCACCGCAGGGGCCTGAGCCACCTGGGACACGGAGGGGTACCGAGGGCGGGGGCAGGCTGAGACTGTCAGCCAATCCGCCGAGCCGCGGGTGAGGCCAGACGCTGAGTCCCACGGGGATTGAATTATCAACACACAACCCCCAGCCCCCGTTAGGGAGCGGCCAGGAATAGATGTCGCCTCGCCCCGCCCCGCTCACGCCCACGCACCTGCCACCAGCTGCGCACAGAGGAGACGCGTGGATTGCAAATCCTTCGCAAAATCAGGGGCAGCTGATCACGTGTGAAAAGAGGGATGGTCCCCGAAGCCTAAGGAAACGAGTAGTTCTGTTCACCCAAACGTTGCTGAGGATCCAGTAAATCTAGGATATCACATTGACCTCCAGTGGGTGCCTGCTTTGTGCTCAACAAGGGCATGCCCTCAAGGAGGAAGAGAAAGGAGAGGACTCCCTAAGATGAGGACCAACGGTATGCCGTGCACTTTTTACATGTTGTCGTTTCATCCTTACAATAACCCTATGAAAAAACTGCCATCCCCGTTTTACTGTTGCAGTAACTGAGGCTCAGAGAGGTTAGGTGATTAGTCCCAAATCACTCAACTAAAAAAGAAAAAAAACGGGGGGGGGGAGGAATATTTGAATTTGGATCTGTCTAAATTGTGGGACCATACGAGAAAAACAGACCTAGAAGTGAAACAGAACCTGCCACGGTTGAGAGAAATATCCTGAGAAATAATTTGATGCAAATTACCCTGGAAAGAGCAGAACCTTCGCAGGGCCAGAGAATTCATGATTCTAAAATAAGGGCGTCTGAGAATAGAAGAGATCTTTGCCATCAGGAGCTCTAAAGAAAGACAGCCTAGAATTTTAAAAGCAAAGAGATGAGAGAATTGAACCCAACTATTGATTTCTTGAAAAACTATACAATAAGCATCCTTTTTTAACAGGTCAGGGTTGTATTACTTCAGCTGTTTGAATCAAAAGATGTGTTCTTTGGTTTAATTATTAAACAATACCATTGAAAATTCAGCAACTTGCAGATTATAACCTGCATCAACCGATAACCACATGGTGGCAGTGTTTCCTAATTGCTGAGAAAGTGCCTGTAAGGAAAAGAAAAACAACTGCCTTAAGTTGTGAGACTGTAAACCTTAATAAACCAGAATGACCTTCAACGACTCTCCATTGCTAATAGGGGAGGGGGATCAAATTCCTCTATTTTATGTATAAGACTCTTCATAATAATCAAAGGTGTATCTGTCTAAGCTACCTTTCCATTACAGATCCCTCCTCAAGCCTTATTTGCTCCCACCTGCCCTTAGCTACTTACCTTCTCCACGGACATGCCTAGCCTTTACTCACTTCTGGCTTTTGGCATATGTCATGCATCTGTTTGAAATGTTCTGAATGGGGTACAAGAGTCTATGAAAGTTTAAAGTCCTGCCACAGACACCTTGGGAAAGTGGCCCCACCGGTTTTCCCAGCTGGTGGGAGTGCTGTTATGAAAGCCACCAGGGTGGTGGAGCCTGCAAGTCCTCAAGCCACCTAAGAAGGTTTGTGAGAACTCTACTGTAAGATAAATGAAACCAATTGAAACAGTCGTCTCCTGTGGTGAAGTAGAAAGAAGACTGGGACCTCTGAGTCTGGGAGGAAAGCTAAGCACTTAAGTATGATGCTTATGAACTCAGAAGGGCATCCCAGAACCTGGAAGTGGGGTGATTTGTTATGAAAAGGCACATTCCTCTTCTACCTCACATTTCCTATATCCTTAGCTGAAATTACTGCCTGTTGCTCATGGAGGTGATTTATATAGCATAGAAATTGAAAGAGTGGAGCCCTAACTTAGATGTTCTGGGTTCGAATACTGTTCTACCATTTCTCAGTTATTTGGTTGTAAGCACATTGCTCTACCACACTGTGCTGGTTTTCTCATTTCTAAAAAGGGCATAATAATAGAAGCTACCTAATAGGGTTGTTATGAAAATTAAATGAGGGCTGGGGGTCTAGCTCAGTGGCAGGGCACTTGCCTAGCAGGTGCAAGGTCCTG